TTCAGAAAATCACTCCTCAATCATCTGAACAAATTGTTCGTTATCATTCTGATGTCTGGAACAAAGCACAATTAAATTATAGTACTATTAAAAAAAATATTTATTTACTGTTTTATGTATTACTAAATTTCAAGTTGATATTTTAAATCAAAAGTTTTTACTTTGTGTTGATTGCAAATCCGCTAAATATGTTTTAGAAAAAGATGTTCAAAATATTGCTAGTAAACAAATTTTTGCTCGTTGGAAATCTATTTTAAGTATTTTTGAATTTGAAATTACTTATACACCTGGTTGTCAAAATTCTATTCCTAATTTTTTTACCCGTGAATTTTTACAGGGGGGCAAGGGATGAGTCCTACTCCACATATTGCCTACCATAAATCCCGAATTACCTATTTCTGAACCCTGATTAAACAACTTACCTATCGTATTCACCGCCTCAAATTAGCCAGAAAAAACTACTAAAAGAGCCCAATACATTAACTACCATCAAATTCAAGCTCGTCGTAATTTACTTGCTCATAATTACAATTGTTTGAATCACCATCAAAATTATCTTGATCTTCTTAGTGATTGCTAAATCTTTGCTAACCTTTGTTTCTTGATCATACAGATGTCTCGCCTAAGGCCTTCTTCTAAGGCTTTGGTCCCATCTTCTGATAATCCTCCTTTTATTCCTCTTTTGGAATTAGTAACCCAATATCATCCAATTGAAATGATTAACCGTTACCAAGTCCTTGGTAACATTCCTCGTCCCAATTACTCATCTGCTTTGGCTACTGATCCTTTTGCTTCTCCCAGCCAAGCAGTTTCAATTACTCAATTTCCTGCTAATCCAATCAGGTCTGCTCGATCTGATTATGTTAAAACAACTACTACTAATCTCTTTTTTAAAGAGCCTAGTCACCCCAAGAGTCAAACTATTCATGACCTTGCTAAATCCTATTTTGGTCCAGGATGGCACTTTGTTCTTGTCCATCCAGATAAATCAATTACCTTCTATAAAGACATTTTGATCAATCATCAATCTGTTTTGATTAAACCCATTTATGATCGAACCTATGCTAGTAAGTTTTTGTATCATTCTATTTATATTCACAATATTATTTCCTTAGCTGAATGGGGTTCTCCTTATCAGCTTCGTGAATTACCAGGTCACTCTATTCCATACAGTTACCATGATTACATTAATGCTTGGTTCAAGATCTTCTTGTACCAAAATGAAACCTTCAGTCACTCCTGGTTCATTCAATTTGATCAAAAGTTCAAATCAGAATTACCTTCTTGGTTTCTGAGATGGTGGTCTCATTATGGTGCCATTTCAGATATCTTCCTTGATATTCTGATTGAACAAATCAACTATTTTGCTACCATTTTCCCATTTACACCTCATCAAAGAAAATTTCCATTATTGTTAATTTTTATATCTAAGTATAAAATCCCTTGGATATTCAAATGGCATTATGGTATTTCTGATGATATAATTATCCGGCAACATTCTGTTAAATGGTGGGATAAGTTCACTCCTCACCGCATTTTTGAAATTGTCCAAGCTGAATTTCCAATTAATCAATGTGCTCCCACTCTTGCAATGATTAAAGCCCAGCAGACCCCAACTGCTGCCATTTCTCAAGGAAGTCTCAGTCTTCCTCCAATCAATCTTGGAAGCCCCTCTTCTAGTGGTTCCAAGCCCAAATCATCCAAGTCAGAGTTTGCCTCATCAACTGATAAATCAAAGTCCAAGGCTAAGTCCAAAGCTCCTGCAATTCTGACTCAGCCCAAGACTCAATCAAAACCCAAATCAAATAAATCAAAGGCTGCTCCATCCAAGCCCAAGGTCAAGCCTGGATCAACCAGTGATCAACTGCTTCGAATGGCCCGTCTCCTAATAGATCAGGCCCAAGCCCAATTAAAAGATGAATCGTCTGATGATGAATCTCCTGCTCCGGCCCAAAAGACCAGTACAAAAGAAAGTTCAGACAGTTCACAAGGTTCAACTAATCAAGACCCATATGGACCAGAGTTCCAAGATGCTCAGGATCCATATGCGTTTTAATCAACATTGGATTTCATATAGATACAAATTAGCTTCAATCAAGACTCTTTTGAGAAAAGCTGCCAATTTGTATTTATATTGATTCCTTTAATCACATGTTCCATCGAAAGCATGAATAGTAAAAGTTACTGTTCACTTTTACTGTTCACTCAATCAACTTTTGATAAAGCTGCTCAACTGTTCAATCAATCAGTCGAAAGCAACCGACAGTCTGCTCAGTCTCCAATGATGCCAGCTGGCTTCGATCAATCAGCCAATTCACATGTTGCATAGTTAAATTTATTTTCTATAGATTGTGATCAAATGTATTCATTCAGCATTCTTCGTTTTTAGAAAACTCTGAGAACTCTGAGTGAAAATCAACCTGTTTGTTTGTAACCTGATTAAGATCCTTGCAACTGCAACAATTGTAATTGTAAGTTATTTTTTGTAAAACTATTTTAATTACTGATTTATTTAATTTAGTGTGTATGATTCCAACTACTTGATCATCTGTTTTATATCATCTTCTTCTATCTGCTTCACTTCCCCTTTCTGAAATTTGATTCAACAAATTTCAATTTCAGAAATTTGTACCATTAAACAAATTTCTCATTGGTTCCTAAGAAGAAATTGAATCAAATTTTGATTTCAAAAATTTGTTATTTTATTTCAGAAATTTGATTTCAGCAATGAAGAAATTTGATTTCAGAAATTTGTACCATTCAACAAATTCAAAATTTGATTCAATGACTCGTTGGTTTGATTCACTACCAAATCTCAGAAATTTGATTCAATGACTCGTTGGTTTGATTCACTACCAAATCTTTCAGGTTGAGGAATTTTGCCCTCATTTTAGCAAGATACACCAAATTTGTAAAATTGGAAGAGAAGAAATCAACATTGTAACGCCCTCAAAATAATAACAATAAACCCATCAGATAAGACATGCATTTACATTTAAACTAACCACATTCCTGTCATTCATTAGAATTCCAAGACATAAGTATTACATGTTAACCTCATAACAAAATGCCCTACGGGCTTACCAAATTTGTAAAATTGGAAGAGAAGAAATCAACATGTTGCCCTAATTTCATATTTTACATAATTAGGGCAAAATTAGGGCAAAATCAACATATAGATATATATATATATATATACACCAAATTACCTCATCGTCAATGGGATTGAAATAGAAGGGGTCAAGACTCAGGAGGACAGAGTGGGGCGGCAGAAGGACCTGTCGTCGGCGTGAAGGGAAGGAGTCCGTCCGTCGAATGAGATGGAAAGAGAGGGAGAGAGTGAGTCGAGAGTCGGCGACGGGCGTCGCAGTCAAGGACGTCGGAGTGAAAGGGAGGAGCTGAGGGAGTCGACTGTCAGAGTTGGGAGTTGAGGAGCTGTCCGTCGAGTGAGGGAGTCGTCTGCCTCTCGTCTCTCATTGTCATAGAGCTATATTTTCCCATTAAAAAATGTTTTTGAATTCTGAAAGAGGAGCGTCGGCTTTGTATGTCACGTGACCCATCACGTGCCTGTCCAGCTTAGAGGGGGACAAGGGGGTCGGAAATATTTTTCAATTTTCAAAGTCCTAACCAAACACAGGAAGATATTCTTTGACAAAAAATTTTCTTGGGCCAAAACGAATTTGAGTGCTAATTTTTTTGTCATTTTTGCTTACACTAAGTAACCATAATATGAAAACAATTGGTAACCATAGAGTATATTGTACTTTATACATGCATTCTAACAAAAAAAAATTCTCTTATTTTATTTTATTGTGAGTTTTCCATCCGACAAGACAAAGCACCCTTGCTTTAAGAGTAAATTTGCAAAAGCACCACTTCGAGTTGTCCCTCAAACATCATGCCGTCATCACTATAGAACATTATGGAGATCTACCCTCTAGTGCTACTACTAGATAGAGATACGATTTAGATTTCTAAGTTCATTTCCATGCATACACAATTGAATGGTTAAAAAATTAAAATCAATAAGCCTGAATGCACAAATTAATCTACTAATTGAATTGTGGTGCAAACATAGTTGGGATACGTTTGATTCAGCTAATTTTACTTTCCATTTTATTGATCTTTTGTATGTACTATTGGTTTACATAATTTATGAGCAAAAATTCTTTTCGTTTACTGGTAAAAAACAAAAATTGAATTGTTGCTCCTCAGATATTCAATTCTAATTTTCAAGAAGATAAATTGACACAATCTACACATTTCAAAATTTTGATATTTTCTTGTAGTTATTTAGGCCTCATTTGGGAACATGCTAATTTAGTAATTTTTTGGCTATTTGACTAAAATATGAGCTAAAAAAAACTAGTATGCTTGGGATGACTTTTTAACTTTTTACCAAAAAATGTGTAAAAAGTAGAGAGAAAAGAGAATCTTTGACTTTTTAATATGAGTTGTTGGTTTTTTGACTTTTTTAATAATTTTTGACTTTTTAACTAAACCGGCCCTTCCCAAACAAGACCTTAGTATTGTTGGTGCTATTGTTTGTCACCATTTTATATACAGCAATGCTAGGTATCATGAAAAGTTTTTCATGAAAATGGTCATGAAAGATTTGTGATCTTTGCATTATACTTACAATAAAGCACCACACACTAATCAAAGTAATCTAAGGGTCATAAATTTTTCATGATCCCTTTCATGACAAAATTTTCATGATCTCTAACATTTCTCTTTTATATAACCGTGTCCTTGAATACTAATTATTAGTTTCTTGTGTGTAAATTATTAAATTATTATTAAGGAAATGATGCATAAAATTATATTTTGTTATATATCCAGCTATATAAAATAATTATAAAATAAAAATAAAAAATAAATAAAAAGGAAAAGTCAACCAGTAACTTGTTTAGTGGAACCTGCATCAGACGTCAGCAATTTTTGCAACGTATGCAAAGGAATTGAGAGAGAATTGTTCAGTGGGACAATGCTCCTGATAGTAAAAAACATATGCAATAATAATCTTCTCATTTTCATTTATCATCAAATTTTCCATCAGAATATTAGATTACTTGATAGACAACAAGTCCCATCATATTATATCTCAAAACAAAAAATTCAAAACGAAAAAAAAGAAAAAAAAAAAGAAAAAAGAAAACATAGAGACTGAAAGTACAAAAAGGCCCCTCATCTCTGCCTTCCATTGCACTTTGCACCCTCATCAGTTCTCCCTCTTCCTTTGTGTTTTTGTCCATTCTTTCAACTGAGTTATTAGGCCTTTGGGGCTTCCATAGCTATCATGGGAGGTTGTGGAATTGGAGTACCAATGGCCAACGCCGGCATAACATTCTTGTTCACTTGACTTATCTGAATTTCAACAACATTTGCTTCAATGTCGTCAATCGTCATCTGGTTATTTCCTCCACTGCCCTTTACTGGTTCAAGGATTGCCTCGGCTTCCATCTCCTTGTACTCCTTGTATTTGCCCCATTGAACCGAGTAAAGTCCGATCACAATTAGCACAGCGCCGAGAACACTGAACCAAAAAAGTAGAGAAAAGATAAGCAGGGAAATATAGGGAATATTGAGAAGTTTGAAAATAAGAAAAAATATTTTTATTATGATGTTTTTTCTAGTATCCACTTCTTTTCTCTTGTTAAGGTGTTTGTTTTAGTTGACAGTAACGTTTCATGAAAAATACTGTTGAAAATCATAAGAATCAAAGTGGAATTTTGTTTCTTTCCATAGGGATGGAAAATTGGGGCAACAGTAACAATTTTGCAATATATGGCATCATGCAAAGAAAATTCTAAAAAAAGCTCTTTTCAAGAATTTCTATGTACAGTCCTTCACTGCATGATGTGATGGTGATATTTTTATAATTTAAAAATATATTGATGGTTTCATTTATTTTAAAGTGATAGAGACTAGCAACTCAGTATTTTTTTTTTTTATATTTTATTTTTGTGTGCTTTTATTTTATTTATTTACATATTACTTACCCTCCCACATAGATCTTTTCTGCAAGGATGAAAGAGCCCATGATTGCCACAATAATCATCATCAAAGGACTGAAGGAAGTCACGAACACTGGCCCTCTTTTCTTCATGACTAGACCTTGCACATAGTATGCAATGCTTGATGACACTATACCCTGAAATCAAAGATTTATTTTATTTTATTAATATATAATTTGAGACATATTATTGAGAGAGAGAAACAGAGAGAGAGAGAGAGACAGAGACAGAGACAGAGACTTACAGCATAGGCAGCAGCTAGGAGGTTCATGTCCCAACCAATGGTCCAAACAGAAGGTCTGTGCTCCATTACAAAGGTGACAGCAATGGATTGTAAAGTACCCATGAAGCACACAAGGGTTGTCAGAGAGAGATGGGCTGAGTACTTTTTCAGTGTAATTGCCTGTGATACAATACAAATAAAAAAAATTAAAATTTCTTTTCCTTCTTTTGAAAAAAACTAAGAAGGGAGTTTTAAAAGTATGTGTTTTTTTTTTTGTTTTTGGTTTACCTGAAGGATGAAGAAAGCAGCCCAGGCAAGGGTAGCAATGATAAGGAGAATGGAACCCGTAACCCAGTCCTTGTCAGAAGGACCAGAGGCTTGAGGGACAGAGGATGAAGTAGTACCAGAATGCATATGCTTTGACCACACCAAATCAATGACATGACCTTTGTATAATGTCATCAACATTGCCCCTCCCACTGTCACTATTGTTCCCACCACCTTTGCTTGGCATCTTACCTTCTTTATATCCACCTTCTCCATCCTTAATTTTCACAAACCACCAAATCCAATCAATACTCATAACTTGTTACCATAAAACCTATCTATGTATCTATACTAGCAGTGCGTGCAAAACTGGAAGTTACAAAATTTGATGTGAGTTTGATCTGAGCAGTTACATGAGACAAGAATATCATGTGTATTTTGAAAAAAACTAAAAGAATTCTGACAAAACTACACCAGTTCAGATTTAGGCTCCATAGATATAGAAAGAGAGAAGTGGAGGTGGTGGTGGTGGTGGAGAGTGAAGATAGATACCTGCATATGACAGCCATGACAAATGTCATCGCGGGAAGCATGTTGCTCATGGCACATGAGAAGGTTGGCGAGGTGAATTTCAGTCCAGCATAGTAGAAATTTTGATCAATAACAGGTCTGTAAAATTGAAAAGTAGAGATTAAGATGAGAAATGCTATTTATCACTTGTTTTATTTCACCGCTTCTTATGTTTGATGACTACGATTTTCCAAGAAATGGTATTTGGAATTTTAAGAAGCAACTAGTATACTCACCCAAGAAGGCCCAGCACAAAAATTTGCATAAAAATGGGAAATGTAATCTTCGGCCTCACTTTCCTATAATCAAAACATGAATTAATCAGTCTCTTTTTACCAACACAAGGACTTAAAAAATAAAATTGTTGACTCTCTTTTGAGTGTTAAAAAAGAGAGGTTCTTCTAGTACCTCTCAAGAACGAGAGCGAAAGGAGCGATGACAGCAGTAGCAAAGGCATGCCGATAGACAACGAGCACGTAATGACTCATTCCCCGATTGAGGGAAACTTTGGTGATGATGTTCATTCCGGCATAGCCGAACTGGAGAGAGATCATGGCTATGTATGGCTTGGCTCTCTGAAGAAAACTTCCCAAACATCCTTTCCCCTCCATTTTTCTTTCACTTTCTTGGAAAAGAAAATTATGAGGACTCAAGAAAGAAGGAAGGAAGGAAGAGGAGAGAGAGTAAACTAGCTAGAAGAAGAGAGGAAGAACACTTGAAGTTGCTTTGTGTTTCTCCTGAGGAATAAGATTGTAATGAGGGCTCTATTTATAGCCCATTGGAGAGACCCCTATCCAAATTGTTTCAAGTGTGTGGGAATCTCACTCTCACACGTGACTGTTGCACTAACCATGCATCTATTTGAATATTCTGATTTGTTGTATGTATATATATCCATATACGGGCAATGCGGGTTCCACGTGTCATCAATTGGAGCTTAATTATGTTTTATGGGTTCCACTTTGTAGTGGTAGCTGATATAGGAGCGAGAGAGAGAGGTAACAAAACAAAAGATTAGTGAAATGCTGATGCTAGTGAGGGGCCAACATTGTGTACTAGTGGTAGCTGATTGCAGCCCTAATTCCGACCGGGCCCCACCGATACCGGCACGCCTCGACGCGGCATGGCAAGGCGTCTCATCCATCGGAACAGTAGTACCCACCACCACTCACACCACCGGACTATTATCAAATAGTAACTCACTGTTTTTAAATTTTAGTGCAAAACTTTACGGAGATGGGAAAATAATGGTTTTGGGTGCAAATCTGATATGTGCCCAGATTGGCTTGTCGAGTGACGAAATTGAATTAATCAAAATGTTATACTAATTAAGAGTTAGATTCGATGTTCTGTTGAGTTTCTCTGTGATTCCTATATTTGGGTAAGTTTGCATTATGATGTTCAAAGTATTCATTAATATTTCATGTGGCTACGTAATGGAACAATACCCACTTTATAAAGTAGGCTACTTGCCATTTCTTATCTGGAAAAATGAAAACATATGTGTATAAGAATTTTGATTTTGTGTTTGATATGTTACAAGTTGTTGCTTATTTTTCCTACGAAGGAAAATATCATAAATGCGAGCGTGTCAGTAAGGATTGAAAAATCTTTACAGATTAAATTCAAGCTAATTATCAAGCGATTGCGTTGACGGTTCTTTTGCCTCAACAAAGAGGACTTCAAAATTGCCAAAGTGTAGAGAAAAGAAAAATTAAAAGAAGAATGAGGGACGAAGAAGGACGATTGAGTGAACAATCAAAGTAATAATTACTTACCTCTACTCCTATGCTTCAAAAAGGAAGTGCATAAAATGCATCGAAATGGAAATGCTGAAAATAAATGCTTCGAAATATAAATCTATGTTAAACTACTTCTAAGATAAGGAAAATGACAAGAAATATTGAAATCGAGTGTCTTTGATTTAAGTTCTGGCCTTTTACAATGTAGCCATTAATGACTATTTATAGAAGAAAAAATACAGCAATAACTACTTAGTAACTACCCATTTCTTCCATCTTCATTCTTGTCTTGTCATGTGTCCTTCCACTCATCCACTTTGTCCTCCCACTCGTCCACTTTGTCCTTCATATTCTCCATTATCTCTATAACTTCTTTTAACTTTCAAATGAATAAGAGGATGTCACGTGTCCTGCAATTATATAAATAATAAATAATAATAAAATTGCAGATTTATGGTGCTAACATTACCCCCCGCGGCCCTTAAAAATGATGTTTACTTGAATTTTTAAAGGGCCGAACCAAGCACATGACTAATCTAAGCAATAAAATGCTTCGAATAATATTAACAAAGTGCTTCGAATGATATAATAGCACCAATAAAGTGTTTCGAATGAGTATGAAATAATGACTAGATGTCTCGAATGCTAGCTATTACAGACTAGTAACAAGCTTCGAAGGTGGTACAAAGGACCAAAATCATCTTTCGAAGGTTGAAAGTGACGACAAAGGACAAATTACATCCTTAGAAATACTCGGCAAAGTTTCGAAGGTTCACAACCACCATTATTGTTTCTTCGAAACTGTTAATGCAAGATGGAGTGCTTCGGAGCTTACAAAATTATGGCAAAAGAGCCTTCGAAGCAGCTTTTGGCCAACATTGTAGTTATGCACATTTTGTATGTTTTGGTTCATACATAATTAATGAAAAATATTAATTTTGTACTTCGAACCAGTTATTAATTCTTCGAAAACACCAAAACTGTTGTTTTTCAAAGCAACTTATCATGCCAAAAAAAGGCATTATTCGACAACTAATTAATTGTCATTTTACATATATTTGAAGAGATGTACATATTTCGAAAGTTTTCAAAGCTTTATACAGTTTCGAAGGTGAAGTAATCAACCTTCGAAACAACTCTTGATGTTTCGAATATATCTTCAAAGCTTTATACAGCTTTGAAGGTGAAGTAATCAACTTTCGAAACAACTCTTGATGCTTCGAATGTATCTTCGATGCTTTGATTGTGTACATACAAACAACTGGCCATCAATTTGAAAAGATAAGCTATTCTCAACCATTTATTTAAATGCACAGGTTTTTTCTAGCCAAATTCATGCATTTTAAATGGTCATGCCTTGTTTTTAGTGCTTCGAACTCATAAGAACAATTTGTTAATTTTATTAGCCACATCATCAAAATTATATTTTGATGTGAACCACAAATCCAAAAAGGATTTTGAGCACCAAAAGTCATGGTATGGTGTAACCATGAAAATTCATACTTTTTGACATTTTGAAAAATGTCAAAAAGTTTGAATTCATAAACAGTGGCCGAGCGGATGTACTCTCTTTAAATCATGAGTTGAATACTCAATAAAAACATCAAAGAAAACTAGCAAAATATCCCCAGATATAATCCTTAAGAACCAAAAAGAAGATCTGGAGGAGTTCAATCAATCCCCTAGTTTTGGGAGAAAACCAAGTATTTATAGAGAACCAAAAGTAATCCTAGATTGGGAAGAAAACAAACTCCTTGAGAAATCCGGATTCTGAGGCTCGCTCGAGCGAAGCTTTTTTGGCTCGAGTGAGTAGTGTATTTTTCGTGATTTCTACTAGTGCCTTGGCTCGAGCGACGAATCCCAGTGTATTTTTCATGATTTCTACTAGTGCCTTGGCTCGAGCGACGGATCCTTGGCTCGAGCGAGGAATACATTCTTTCAGGTTTTTGTATGGACGCAATCCTTGGCTCGAGCGCGCATTCCTTGGCTCGAGCGAGCAAGCCCTAGCTCGAGCGATAATTCCTTGGCTCGAGCGAGCTCGACCCCCGTAATAATCAGCGAACTGGCAATCTTGAAAGCATTAACATCACAAACTTCTCTGCATGGTTCGATTCGGGTTTGGATTCGCATCTAATAAACCTATAGCCTCACTGAAATAAAAGTGCGAAAATAAATACATCTGAAAGGAGTTTTGTCAAACGGAATTGCCAAGAATAAAAACCTAACAGACCTTATTACTGATGGATTGGTGCATCCATAATTTTTCATCATCAGCTTTCTCAATGTGAATCCTAATTCTTGTTTGTGTGGTTGATTATTATTTCTGCTAGCGCTTCAATCATTTGGTGAATAATTAATTGAAAAATCTCATAATATAAAGATTTTGTCAACTAACTTTCAACAACAAAATACATAAACTATTCTGCGCACTACAATTTGGAAACAATATTTTGTATAAAAATTATTTTCACTTCCAATAATGCAATGAACACACCCAAAACCACAGCCTACACTTAAATTTGTTAAGTTATTTAATTTTATTAGATTTTACACCATGTTAGAAGCGAATAATTATTTAGTAGATGTGAAATATGTGTCACAATATTTACATGGTACTCCTAACCAATTATGCAGTAAAATTTGTTATAGATGAAATAATATTGGCTTACTTTTATAAAGTAGTTGAGAAATAAAAAATAACATATCTAATGTATCTTGTGATTTTTCAATTTTTGAGAGAATCACATAAGTAATACTATATGATACTGTACGACCACCTAATATTTTTTCAATAAAAACCAACAAAATCGTGTTGAAAACTTACAATATATCCTGTTGGATGCAACTTATAAAGCTGCTTATAATATTTTTAGTTTGAAAAAATTTGCCACGATGTTTGTGTACAATTTGCTCTTATCGCTTATTTGGAGCAAAAATAACTTATATATTATTGTAAAATAGAAAAAATAGTACTTTTAAAGTTTATTTTGTGATTATTAGATTTTAGATCGGCGAAAAGTAAACCAAACTAAACCAATATGGTGTGAAATTGAGTCAAAAATTCACACCTTAGAAGAGTATAGTTTAGGGTGTGCCACAACACTTATTCTTACATAAAATATTCCAGTAAACAAATTTGATTCCCAAAAGAACAATGTGTTTCATGTGAAGAAGCCCTATAGGATATTAGGAATGTATTATTATTATTATTATTATTATTATTATTATTATAAAGAGAGAGGAGGAAGAGTTTTGAGTGAGATATGCATTGTGGATAGCATAGATTCCATTGCACCAAGCAGTTGCGTTGCGTTGGAAGCTGATTACGCATCGCAATACCAACTTCCACTTTGGTGATAATATTGCAACGAATTTCAACCCTTTTGATTCCATACATCACATTCTCTCACTTTGATTTTAAATATTTTTTCCCTTCTTATTTTCATTATTCATCTGCATGTATACAAGCATGTAGTATTCAATACACCTTTCTTATTGGATCTTTTCCATCCATCAACAATTTCATTAACCATCTTGAGCATTACCTGCTTCATCCTATTTGATAGCACCTTTGCTAGTATTTTATTCATGGCACCAATCCGACTAATAGGCCTATACTCAGCCAAACAAGAGGGGCTATCATTTTTAGGAATTAAAACAATGAATGTGCTATTCATCCTACGTGGTGGATTTATTGGGTTACAACACCTTTAAATGAAATTTATCAATAAAAAACACAAAAAAAAAAAAATTATGTGACATGTTTGCTTTATATATGTTAGTATTGATATATATGCTCTTTATATATGCTTGATTTATCCAAGTTTGGTATCGATGCTAGTTGAAGATTCTGCCGAACTGCAATTTATACTCTAAGGGGCCCTTCTTTCGTGATTTTTAGATTGTCAGATCAAGATTCCTTCCACCACAAATTACATCTTTCATTGGGTTTTAAGCACAAAAATAAATAAATAAAAAATAAAAAAATAAGAGAAGATATTTAAAAG